ATTTTTTTTTGTTGCTGTTCATTATTTTTGAGTAAATAGATAAATAAGTGGAAATGAAGATCTTTCTGCTTTCTCAGACCATTTTATACACTCTAGATGAGACCACCAGTAGACCAGTGGTCCTCAAAGTGCTTGTTCAGTGCAGTTATCTAGCTTGGGAACTTTTGACTGTGCACCACATTTCTTTAAAGTCTTTTAAAATTACAGAATCTCATTTGAAAATGTTTTGTCACGAATTTATTCCATGAGTATATAATTAATGTCAGATTCTACCTGATTATTCATTAGCTTTCTGAATCCGTTTCTTTTAAAGCAGGGAGAGTGATACCTACTTTGCAAAGTGGTCATTAGCATTAAACTGGATAACATCTGGGAGAGATCCTGTTACACAATTATCCCATTACTGGCTTAGGTACCATTCTTCTTAACGGTGGGCTGAAATCAAGCATTCTACATATTAATCTTTATCAGTGTTTGAAATTAGCTAATAATCAGTCCAAGCCTTCTCATGAGCTAGATCAACAGAAAATACCATGTGGCGCAGTTGAAAGTGAGTTCACCCAGTTTTCTAAAATTTTCGTTAAAATATTTTATAGGCAACCTCAGTGCATCACTTGGGTTCCTTTCACCTTATTTTCAGGATCCCATCACTCGTGAATGTGTGTGCATGTGTCTATAATTCATCGATTTTATGTACTGTTTCTATTGCACATTTTTGGTTTGGGATTCTGGCCCTCCTCACTGTACTGTTCATTTCCGACGCGAGGTGGCTGAGACATTGAATGTGCACGTTTTGACGGTGGTGGTCCTGGAAGAGAGTAGAGCACTTGCCCACCTGCCGGGCAGATGGAGAACCTGAAAGACAGGATGTTTCCCATAGTTACTGTTTTTATGTAAGCCCCTTTCAATGCGACATCACGCTCCATCAGAAGAACATTCTTGAACAAATGAGCCACGACTAATCCTAACTCAAATAAAGCTTCCACATGATCTTTCTCCCTCCCAGAGTTACCACTGGGTCTTAGTGGACGTCTGTTAAAGTGAAGGGGTGGGGCTAGAGAATTCTTAAACCCTTTTTAGCACTTATGTGTGATTTCTCTCAGCTCTCCTGGTTTGTTTTTCTTGCCCACCCCTTAAAAGCGTCACAAGCTTTCATTTTGTTCCACCTGTAGACATCACTTTGTTCACCACTGGTGACATTTTTAGAAAAGGACTTAATATTTGGAGGGGAGACCTATTTCTTTCAGAGGACTATGTTTACTTTTCCTGAAAACTTGAGTTGGCGTGGTACAATTAGATGCGTCCTTTATCGCTGTATAGGTCAAATCCTATAATAGCAAACGTAACGTTTGTAAGTAAACTTGATGCATGTACACGTGCATTTATTTAGTCAACAGCTACAGAGGCAGCAGGGGATAATGATGTCCCCACTCTGCTCTCTGCCTGCTGCTTGTCAGCCCCCAGGCCTTTCTCCAGGGCTGGAGAGAAATGCACAATGATGCTGATGGGTCTCACCTTGAATTCATGACCTCTAACTTCAGAAGGACCAATCGTGGGGTCCAGCACTCCTTCTACGCTGCTTGCTCTCTTGCTGTCCTAGATGACTATTTCACACTTTCTCCTTTCTTCCCAACCATTAGCCGTCCCTCCGCACTTAACTCCTCCCCCCGCCGCCCCCTCCACTGATGAGAAAATACAAAGCAACGAGAAGACAATGTCTAACCTCTCCCCCTACCTTGTCTACTCTGGTGCCTGCATCTCCTGACAGGCAGTCTGCTGGACTTCACATATTGCCTGAGGTGAAGCCCTCAGCTTGTCTGATTCACAGCCCCTTCGCCTGTCTCTTTAGCGGCTGTCCCTTCTCTCTCCGACATTGTTAATTATCCTTCTTCCCTGCTACCGGATCATTCCTATCAGCATACTCACATGTTGAGTTAGCTCCCTTCTTTAAAAGAAAAGAGAAAGGAAGAAAAAAAACTTCCTGGGGAGACCCCACAGTTCCCTACAGCTACTGCCCCATTTCTCTGTTCTTTGCCCCAGAACTCTCCACGAGAGTTGTCCACTCTCACTTTCCTTCCACTCTTTGTTGAAATCTCTCCATTAAGGCTTTCAACTCCATGACTCTGCCAAAACAGCTCTGACTGAGGTCACCAGTGATCTTTCCGAAGTCACATCCACTGACGAGGTCTCAGTGCTCGTCTGACTCGCCCTGAGAGCATACTTGGTGTGGTCGCTCTTCCTTACCCTCTTCCCTTGGTTTCCAAGACCCCACTCTTCCTGCTTCTCCTACTTTGGTGGCAGGTTGCTCCCCATTTCCCAGACCTCAAACACTGCAGTATGCCAGAGTGGGCCCTTGGACATCTTCTCTTTCCATGCTTACCTCCTAGGTGAACCCAGTGGGTTCCATCTTGTGTCCTAAAACATCTATTTACTGATGACTGCTGAATTTGTATCTCCAGCTTGGACCTCTCCTCTAACCCACCTGCTCTCGTGTCCAGTTGTCTTTATGATTTCTCCCCTTGGATATCAAAATGTCCAAAGCCAAGTTCCTGATTTCTGGTGCCCCAAACTTGTTCCTCCTGCCATCTTGCTCCTCTCCAGTTGCTCGTGTCAAAAACTGCAGTCACCCTTGATTCCTCTCTCAGGACCTGCTGCTTGCTGTACCTTCAGAATACATCCAGAGTCTCACTGTTTCTCACAACCTTCACAGCTACCCCCTTCTTCCAAGCCACTGCTGTCTCTTGGATGGATTATTGCCCTTGCCTTCTCATGGACCTCCTTTCTTCTACCCAGAGCAGCCGAGAGAACCTTTTAAAATGTGGAGTCGAATCACCATGTGTTCAAAGCCTTCCGGTGCCTTCCCATTTCACTGGGAGTAAAAGCTGAAGTCTCTACAATGGCCTGCAAGACCCCGGTGATGTGGTCCCTTGCTGTCTCTCCGACATCATCATCTTCATCTCCCTGTCTGTTGTCTCTCTCTTCCCCTTCCTCCCTCCTGTCCTCTCCCCCTCCTTCTCTTCCCCATCCTCACCATTCTCTGGCCCATTCACTATTCTGGCCACACTGGCTTGCCTGCCTTTCCTTGAAGGAACTAAGCCTGTCCCCCCACTTCAGAGCCTTTGCCCTTGCTGCTTCTGCCAGATGTTTGCAAGTGTCACTTCTTCCATTCCGTTCAAATGTCACCTTATCAGGGAGCTCTTCTTTGAAAATTCTGTTAAATGTAGCACCTTCCTACATGCATTCCTCCTGAAATAATTATTAGTATGTTATTAACTCCTCTCTCCTCTTTGAGTGCAGGGACTTCCTTCTGTCACTAGTGCATCCTTAAGACCCAGAAGGAGCCTGGCACATCGGAGGTGCTGAATGAATGAATGAAGGTGGTCGTGGTGATTGTGATTCATTGTGTGATTCTATTAAGAAGGGTGAAGGTCTTGGATTCACTTAATAAAAGTTTTTAACAATTCACACACAACTTTTTAAAATACTAGATAAAATATGGTAAGTCCGTATACACACAAACTCTGAATCTTACCCATGTCCTCTGTGATGGTGTGTATGTGTGTGTGTATTTCATGACGAGGCTGTTACTTACCGACATTTAAGTATTAGTTATGCAGCAGACATTGTGCTAAGATTATCCCGTTTAATCCTCTTGATTCAGCATATGTTATTACCCCATTTTACAAAAAAGGAAATGAGGCTTCATGAGTTTGAGGCCAACTGAAGACAGCAAGTGGCAACACAGGGATTGGATCTTGGTGTGCCTGACTCCAGATCCTGACTTCAGAAGATGACGCCTCCTAGACTAAAAGCCTCCTGGGCATCCTTTCTAAGTGGTGTGCTCTGTACACATGGGCCATTTATAATACCTAAATAGAAAAGTCTTTAAGAAATAGTGTTTAGTTTTGGAAATCAAGTTAAGTAGTAATAAATTATAAATGAGATACTTTTTAAAAATTTTGAGCTAAAAGTGAGATCTCATGGCTCTCTGCCTAATGACCTAGAATAGCTCCTGTGGTTGGGTTCATAAAAACTTGGTCTCATACCTTAACCAGAGAGCTGTTGCTACAGTGGTGAACGCATTTGTGTGTTAGTACATAGATACGAACAATGCAGAGCTGGCTTGGAGTGCTCTGGGTTACTCCTCAAGAGGGGCCTCTTCCGAGGAAAGTGAGAAATGGAACCACACTCCCAGATTTTTACACTGAACTTTGCAGTAGACTATTGCTCTTCAGAGAAACAGCCTCAAACTCAAGAACAGAAACTCTATGAAGGTAGATAAAACAGGGAGGGAATTTCTAAGTACAAGGGAAGAGGACCATGCCTGGTCCTACTTTTAATTTTCTGGTTCTCTAGAAGAGATGGGGCCAAGTCAGAGTTGGGGACTCAAAGAGTCTCACTTTCCAGTTCTTCCTTCTCTCTGCCACATCCTACTTGTTCTCCTGGTCCACTGTTTGAGGCCTGGATCCTCTTCCTGAAGACCTGAACGATTGGACAATGGTAACCTGGTATTTTTGTTAGCACCGCAATTGGATCTATAGAATCAACATTTCACTTAAAGTTTCCAAATGCCTGTGCAATGAGCAGTAGCTCTTTGTCACACTTGCTCCCCATGGAAGGAAGGTCCAGATTGCAAACAATATGCTGTCCTGGGTTTTTGTAGGAGCTATTTTTTTACAGAATCAGGAAAGTAGTGAACGCTGCTAGCCAGTTATATGAAGCTAAATCCTATTCATTAATGTAGATGATGTGCTGAATGTTGTCATTAAGGACATAAATGTGTCTTTTCATTACTACCATGAATTTTAAAATGTGACTCCACACTCAAGATAGTTTGTTGTCTAATCCACTCTGACAAAGAGGTGCAGGGTAACCTCTTCTTAGAGGTTCTATTTGTTCTGTTGGGGAACAAATGTCAAAATGTGAGTCAAAACTAAGAGGAACTGGACAGTGTTCTTGAATTCATTCATAACATGACAGCATGAAATATTTTTGCTGATCTTATCTAATGTGAATGAAACCACCAAGCTTTTATATAATATTTGCTAGTACTACAACCTTGTGCTATAGATTTTGATTTCTTGTTGGTTTTATGCTTTGTGTTGAGATGGCATGATTCATTCCTCTGTTTTCATTGTGGGTTTAAAAAATGCAGATAGTGTATTTCAAGGTATTACAGTGTGTGTATAATTCAGAATTTCCCCCCAAGTGTCTTGACTTCATTATTAAAAAATTTGCTGAGATATAAGTTTTCAAAGTCTCAAAAAATAATTAAGGCTGTCTTTGGACAAGACTGAACAGAGAAGTAAGATAGAAAGTGACATGAGTGGGCAATTAGGAGCTCCTCCCCTGGATCAGTCCATAAGGTGACATGAAATAGGCTTATTGTTTTCTTTTATTTTTGTGGGCTTTGTGTCATGACCTCTTCATTTTTTTTTCCATTCCCACATCTGCTGGCTTCTAAATGGAATAATTTCCCTGGTATTTGAGATGTTTGAGAGATGCTTTGAACACACCCAGCCATTGTCTCCAAGCAGCTGACTGGGTCAAATTTGGGATCGGGCCCTCATGCTGTGAACTTAATAACCAACCCTTTTGGCTTTAAAATATGAATTGTAATTTATTTCATTGTTCTTTGTTCTTCCTTTTTTTTTTTTTAAATAGGCTGCGGATACTTTGGCTGTGAGGCAAAAGAGAAGAATTTATGATATCACCAATGTCTTGGAAGGAATTGACCTGATTGAAAAAAAGTCAAAAAATAGTATCCAATGGAAGTAAGTTACAAACCAGCACCCTATTCTAAAATCCTTATTTTTCTTCCCAATGCTCTATAAAACCTGACCTTTCTACCATTTATCTTTCCTAAATCCTCTACTTCAGCTGTCTACTCTGGTCACTCCAGGCCCCTCACTTTTCCCCGGACACACCTCTCTGGGCTTCTGTGTATGGCTCTCCTGTGCTCTCTCTGTTGTTTAATTCACACTCTTATTTTCTCCCTCAAACTACTCATTTGGCACACACTGCATACTGCTTTGTATTATGAATCCCTCTCTGCCTAAGTGCTTAGCTGCCCAACCAACGTCAACTCCTTGAGAACCAGAACTGTCTTATACATAGAATATGTACCTTATAAACCATGGTTGATGGAGATGCATGTTGGCATTTATTAACTGTTGTATGGTGGTAGTTTTGAATCTGACAAATAACTACTTTCTGTTCTGCACATTTATCCCATTTGGCTTCAGTTTTCTCAGTTTTTTTAGCCATAATCTCACCCAAATATTATAAGGCTGTAATTTACTTTCTTAGCATCTCACTCTATGTAATGAGGCTCCCAGGCGTGACTCTTTGTCTTTGACATCCTTTTGGTGCCGCAGTCACCAGCCTGACCTTCCAGAGGACGAAAACCGTTCTAGAACGTATTGAGAGTTTTTGTAATTTGATTGTTCTTGCCAATAAATTTTCTAAGCAAACATGTTCAGAGGTATGGTGTTTAAATTTTCTAAGGACTTTAATGCTTGCTTTTTAGGAAAGTGTAAATATTTTTGTCTTGAATGTATTACTAATTAAGTTGGTTATATTACTACAAAAATTAAGTGAAGTTAACCTAGGTCTGAGACTGAGGATATTAATTCTCATATGTTTTTAAGAGGTGTAGGTGCTGGCTGTAATACTAAAGAAGTCATAGATAGATTAAGATATCTTAAAGCTGAAATTGAAGACCTAGAACTAAAGGAAAGAGAACTTGATCAGCAGAAGTTGTGGCTACAGCAAAGCATCAAAAATGTGATGGACGACTCCATTAATAATAGATATCCTTTTTAATAAGTTGTACATATAGCTATAAAATATGTATTTATATAACATATTCTCCCAGTGTGAAGATCAGTCACTTTATTCTAGTGTTTTTAGAGAGTTAAGTTTTGCAAGTGAATATAACCTTTTAGTTTTATAATATTGTTTTAATAATTTATACTAATATTTTAAAAATTTTACCTTTTAAATTATATAATACATATATTAACATCATTCCTGTGTTGCATTGAGAAAAACACATTTATTTATCTTTGATCTACCCATTGATAGGATGTAATATGCTAGCCAAAGCGTGCTTAGGGGGTCTGTGAATATAAGAAGTCATTGTTAAGTGCATAGGTATATTTAAGTCATTATGCTCAGTCTTCTGAAGTGGTAAATATTCAGCAACTCTCAGAGTTTTGAAAAATTAATTTTGGTTTGAAAACGAAATATCATGGTCCTGCGATCAATCCAAGATATTTTCTGCCTAATATTAACTGAAGGGTAGTACCTTCTGGAGGATGGGGTTCCAAGGCTTGTGTATCTATCATATTATGTTGGGGGGAAAATTAGTGACACACTCCACGTGTTTCTTACAATCACTGTGTTCCCTTAGATAGCTGTGATTCTCTTAATTTGTGAGCTGACCTGTGCTCTTATGGAGCATCTTAACTACATTTATCTTGTACCGTCTCTCATGAACTTTTGACTAATGTACACAATTTATTTTCCGTGTTGTCTTGTCTTTCGTGAACGAGTCCATGATCTCATTTGTTATTCCTTTCTACGGATCAGAGTTCCTGAACAGTTTGATAACCATGGGGGTTTTCAGGCTGTGCCCTGTGGGGCCCCAAGATTCAAAAGTCATTGAACGTAGATCTTGGACTTCGCTGCACGGCTTTCCAAGATTCTGTCCACTCGGAATTCCTCAAACCATGACCCAAGAAGATTCTCGATGTGGAGGCTTATGTGGTCTTTTTCTGCTCTCCCAATAGCATCATTTTTCCCATCACTGCCCTTCCCCCAGAAGCCCCTGTCTCCATGAGGAATGTTTTACATCTCTCTCCCAAGACTCTTCAGATGTCACAGAAATCAAAAGTGGCTTCCTCTCAGAGCAAAGGATGGACACTCCTCTTAATGGAACTTTATTTGATTGTCTTTGCCTTTTCAGACTAAAGACTTCTGTTCTCTTTTATCTGACCACGTGTGACAGCCCCATCATGCATTTGGTCATTTTGTCAAATCTGTCTTCAGATTTATTATCTTAATTTAAATGCCTAGACCTTGATATAAATGTTTTTCCTTAACTCTTATGACAGAACGTTTTCCTATGTAACTCATGAAGACATCTGTAACTGCTTTAATGGTAAGTACTGTTCGTAAATTTTTTCTTGTATTCTTCTTCTCCTCATCAACCTATTTAGTATAAAGTGATTCAAAATTCCCCATGCACTCACCCTGAGTCATTATTCTCAAGAGTTGTTGACATTTTGTCTCATTCTGCAGAGCTGTGTATTCTGTTTTCTGTTCTGACAATAACTGCTTTCCACAGCTTTCCCTTCATTGCCTGCGTTGGGGGTATCAGCTGTCTGTGGGAGGGGCGGCTAAGTCAGAGAGAGATTAAGCCACAATCTCAGAGTCACAGAATCACAGGCAATGACGGAACTTGAACAAGAACCCGGTTCTCGTTGGCACTGTTCATGAGACTATATGCGGCAAGTGTGCTGGTCACAAATGGAACCCAAAGAAAGCATGAGGACAGAGTTAGGTGAATCCATTTTATAACCCGGAAAATTATCCCAACCCTATTCCTTTCCCCGCCTCCACGTTTTCCCCCTGAAATGACAACATAATGTATTAATAACTAAAATGGGAGAGGGCTGTCTTCCCATAATTATATATAACACAAGTAAAATGAAATTTTGCATGCACATTTATATTTAATTATGCATGGGCCATTAAAAGGACAGCCTTGTGTATTATGCACAAAAAAAAAAAAACCCGCCAAACACCTTGCCTGGTGGAATCTGACTTTCCATCTAAGACTGTGTTGGCAATATGTGTGGCCTCATTGCTCCACTTTGCCACCAGTCTCCTGAGCTTTCGAAGAAAGTTTGAGGAAATATTCTTAATCTTCAACTCTACAGAGACTGCCGTGGAATTTGGCTTCGAAAGTAAGCTCACCAAAGCTCAAGATTTCAGTCTATCATATCTAATCTCTAGGATCCCCAGTCATTTAAGTAGTTTAAATATTTCAAGTAAACAGTGTAATTTAATTGAAGCTAAAAGGTTTCAAGAATCTCAGACTTTCCACGAGATTGAGTGAAAGCAAAATTAACTTGAGCTGAATTTGTTAATGAGAACAATAGAGGTAACACTGAGTATTTACCCTGTTCTAAGACCTACTAATACATATATTACCTTGTTTAATCCTCAAAACCAACTTACGCATAAGTTATATTTCCTCCATTTACAGAATTAAGAACCGAAGCCCGGGGTCCCCTAGTCTGGGATTCAAGTCCAAGTATTCTAACTCCAGAGCCCACACTCGCCACTGTATTCCAGGATCAGTAGTATTTTCTAAAATTCTAAAATCTTTCTTTCTTTCTTTTTTTGACCAGGTGATACACTTTTGGCCATTCAAGCACCTTCTGGTACACAGCTGGAGGTACCTATTCCAGAAATGGTATGTGGGGTAACTTTTGTTAAAATGGAGCTTCTGTCTCAGGAGGAACAAATGCATTTTCCGTAGCTGAACATGAACTAATTGTGTGTAAACAAGTTACTGCTTTCAAGTTATCTATTTGAAAGTACTGATATCTGAATTTGGATGTCTTCAGTATTTTGGTAAAATCATAGAAGTAACTGAATGAGTCATTTAACATTTTACTTTTTTTAAATTTTATTTGAGCTAAAAGGTATCAAGGAATGAGTAATGATACAGTCGATAACTTTAAAAAATCAGTCTGACTGTATCTATAACCGGCATAACAATCCTAACTAAGAAAAAAGTTCAGTTTAAGTATCAACAATAGTACGTTGCTTTAAATTAGGACTTTTTAAAAACATTTTCTGACTTATTGAATCAAGATAATTATTGACTCTATACTAGTATAAGTTTAGTGGTTTTAGTTTTTGGATTCAAATTTCCCCAAAAAAACTGATTTGAAAGCTATACCAACCAAAAAAGGGAGTAGAAAATGATTACTGTTATCATCTACCTCCCTCCCCCCAGCCATTCTAGAAGTTAGTATTAAGGCATTTACATTACTGGATTCTGAAGCCTCAGGATACAAATTACCTTTTGAAATGGAGGGACTTGACACTTATATCTCTGTAGGGAAAATCAGTTGTCTTTGTGCTTAATGAATGGAAAAAAGTTTTGACTTGTGAAATACTTGCCATTTAAGACAGCACACTGAAATGACCACATCCATGGCGGCCTCGATGCCAGGGGGTGGAGTCCATATATTTGGAGAAGCCTTGGAGCGCTGATGTGTATAATTACAGTAACAATGGATGGTTGCCAGAATTCTACAACTGAGAGTTTTTGATGATCAGTATTTGAGAAAAGCTTATTTTTAGGGGCAAGTGGTTTATGGCCCTCAATATCCCTTTCTACTCTTGTTTTCTGACTTAATGACTTTATTTTGTTGTGTGGATTTAGTTAGTCCCAAATAGCTTTGTCTGTCCTATTTTTAATGTTTCAAGGTAGCTAGAAATTTTAATATTGATTCATTTGTTTATACCCAATACCTTCAAAGGGTCAGAATGGACAAAAGAAATACCAGATCAATTTAAAGAGTCATTCAGGACCTATCCACGTGCTGCTTATAAATAAAGAGTCCAGTTCATCTAAGCCCGTGGTTTTTCCTGTCCCCCCACCTGACGACCTCACACAGCCTTCCTCTCAGCCTCCGACTCCGGTGACTCCACAGAAATCCAACCCGGCAACTCAGAATCTGCCTGAGCAACATGTTTCCGAAAGAAGCCAGAATCTTCAGCAGACATCAGCCACAGACTTATCTTCAGGTGGGTTCAGAGCCTTTGTTTTAAAAACTAGAGAGGGGAAAATATGAATACTATATTAAACAAGTTGGAGAGCTTTTCTCAATTTGTCAGTTGTGATGTTATTATCTAATACAGGAGGCAAAATGGTAAGCTTTCAACAACTATTAATTTAGTGCCTCCTGTGTGCCCAGCACTGGGACAGGTATTATGAGAAAAATTTAAAACTAGATCTTGTCTTTAATTATATTAATACAGATTTGTTTCATAGGTTATATGTATATATATGTACGTGAATATGTATATTCAGAAATATACAATCAGGCACAATGTGATGTGGTTAAGACTGTGTATAGAACTATGAGTCCTGAGCAAAGGAAAGATATTTAATGGGCCAAGCTTTGCAGTCTTCCTTAGGATTCTATTTTTGGAAGTAAGCTAAATTTGTTCCTCTTCCCCTCCCCTTTTACTATTTACATATGTCAATAAAATGTCAATATTACATATGTCAATAAAAATATTCACATGTTTTTATCTGAGGTGTACTTTGTGACGTTCTTTTATCTCTTAGTAACTCTAGGATATATTATTGAATATGCTCTAACTACCTTTAAGAAAAATCAAACTAGTGTAGAATATAGTGGTTGATGCCTCCTGTTTCTCCATATTCTCTATTGTTGCACTTTTTATTTGGAAAGCTTAGTTTTATAGAGTTGATAAGTGGTCTCAACTCCAATTATTTAGGATAGCTTGCATTCCTAAATTGTTTCACCTGTGAAATGATAAAGAGCTAAAACTCCAAAAATTGGGCAAGTGGAATAGGGACCACACGTCCTAAATGTATACTAACTTCCTTGGCTCTCAATGTTTTTTTTAAAGGGATTTTTTATTTTTTTTGTGAGGAAGATCACCCCTGAGCTAACATCCATGCTAATCCTCCTCTTTTTTTGCTGAGGAAGACTGGCTCTGAGCTCACATCTATTGCCAATCCTCCTCCTTTTTTTCTTTTCTCCCCAAAGCCCCAGTAGATAGTTGTATGCCATAGTTGCACATCCTTCTAGTTGCTGTATGTGAGACGTGGCCTCAGCATGGCCAGACAAGCGGTGCGTCGGTGCGCGCCCGGGGTTCCGAACCCGGGCTGCCAGTAGCAGAGTGCGCGCACTTAACCGCTAAGCCACGGGGCCAGCCCGTTGGCTCTCAATCTTTTTCCCGGGTTACATGGCTAGGGATTTAGCAGCTCCTTAACCATTCTAAATAAAGGAGCCACAGTAGCTATTCTCTCAGTTGTTGCTAAATGAAAGACTTAGTCCTGCAAGTCTAGATGTAGTATTGCAGATAATTAAAAACTCTAGTATTGTACATAATCCAATTTGTTTATTTTTACCTTTGGGATATGTCTCATTGGAATGTGGCATAGGTCTACTGCTCTGGGAGTTCACGATAGTTAAGAGTGAGGCTAAAAAGATCTAACTGGCAATGGACTATTTATCAACATCTTCTTGCCCATATCCTTCCCTCCTTTCCTTCTCCTATAAGTATTTCTATAAGATAGGCCATATGGATGCACAATAGAAAGTGTCATCCTTATAAATCTTATAATCTAATTCTAATCTAATTGGGATGAATAAAGCAGGCAAGCTTTATATGGTTTAGCTTAGACACAGTTAGTACATTGGCTTCCACAAAGCATTAAAAAAAATTCTGAGCATTTAGTTTCAGTATATGGTTTTGTATTTGGAAATAGTAGGGAAAGTAATTTGGGGCCAGATTAGAGAGGACCTTGAATATCAGACTGAGTTAGGACTTTAGTGAATAAACCAGTAGATTTGTGAGCAGGGAAGTGACACGATTCGGACTGTACACTGGTGAGCACAGGAGTAGTGTGACTAGGAGAGAAGATGCTTTTGGTCCTGGGATGCAGAGGAGATTAGAGGCAAAGGAGACTGAAGCTGAGATGTTTGCAGTTATGCAGCTGTGAGAGAACATTAGGCTAAAACAGGGCAATGACAGTGGGACTGGAAAGAGAAATAAAGAATAGATTTGAGAAATACCTTTTAGGCAACATGAGTAGCATTTGATGTGGGAGATCTGGAGATAAATTTAATAGGAGGAATAGAAAGTGATGTTGAAGTCTTAAGGTTGGGTGACTGGGAGAATTACGGTACCATGGACTCTGTATAACCAAGAGTCAGGTTTACAAGAATAGTGATGAGTCTTTGGTCTACATCTTGAGTTTGAAAGTTTAAAAGCCAGAAAGAGTAGGTGCTCATGAAGATGCTCTTTCCATAAAGTTCTAATACTTTAATTTTGTATTGTTAATCAAACTGCCGATGTTTAAATTTAACTGTGTTTAATATATACTGTTTGTTTATTTATTTATTTTGTGAGGAAGATCAGCCCTGAGCTAACATCTGCCAATCCTCCTCTTTTGCTGAGGAAGACTGGTCCTGGGCTAACATCCAGTCTATCTTCCTCCACTTTATATGGGATGCCGCCACAGCATGGGCTGACACGCGGTGCGTTGGTGCGTGCCGGGGATCCGAACCCGTGCTGCCAGCAGCAGAGCACGCACTTAACCGCTATGCCACGGGGCCGGCCCCTATACTGTGTTTAAATATGTGCTGTGTTAAATATATACTGTTTAAATATAACTTCCTTTTACTATTAAAATATATAAACAGAAATGTAACAAAACTTTATCACATTTCTGTTTCCAGCAGGATCTATTAGTGGAGATATCATTGATGAGTTGATGTCTTCTGATGGTAAGTAGTTTAAAATTTTAATAACTACCTTATACATCAATAATGCTTTTCTAGAATTTATAAGTGGCACATGCTTTAAAAGAAATGAAGAACCTATATTTTTTAACTGTTTAACATACTATGATAATTCATGAAAATTCTCCCTTAATAATGCTTTATAGTAAATCATAGGCATCCTTTAGAATTTTTCTTTGCCTGCATTTTGAGGGAAAAGAATCCATAAGGGGTTACTTACCACCTTCACTGAATAAACTTCTAAACTGTTGGCACACTAGCCTTTCACTCCTTAAGAATTTGGCCAAGAGTAAAATGACATATCTAAGTCAACAGAAAATCTGAAAACCTGTTCTGTGCATATCCCTACCACGGCCAATGTCAAGCTGCCAGTGTGGAGTCACTGAACTATGACCAACATGAGCCGTGTCATCATCTAATTTTAGATAATTCCTAAAAATCAATTAGCTACAATATTGTAATTACTTTAATAATTACTTTATATAGTCTTGAATTCAAAGTCCTGGTTCCTAACAAATAGAGACCTAGGAAGTGGCAGCTGTTAAATTAGTAAATGGTACCGTAACCACTTAGAGATTTACTAAACATATCTGTAGAAGCAGAGAACATCAGCCAATGTAAGTCTAGTACCTACTTCTATTCTCAACGTGGTAGCTTATTTAGCACATAAAATACTTTGACCAATTTTTGAATCGTATATTTTAGTGACAGGTTCAACCAATAAAAATTTTAACCTCTCTTTCTCAAGCTAGTACCTATAGTCAATGTATAGTCTTTAAATGAGAATCTTTCAAAATATACACTAAATACAACTCATTAATTGCATCATTACTTTTTTATATTCATTTAAATTCTTGTATAACATAGGAAACACAATTTAACTTGGATTGCTGTATTTGAGTGTTTTGTGTTGAACATCATTACCCGTTAGTAGAAACCGTCCTTAACATGCAATCCGTGCTTTGCTTGCAGTGTTTCCGCTTCTCCGGCTTTCTCCCACCCCGGCAGACGACTACAACTTTAATTTAGATGATAATGAAGGAGTTTGTGATCTGTTTGATGTCCAGATACTAAATTATTAGATTCCATGGAGACTTGGGACTGTTATCTACCTCTAACTGTAACATTTTAGACTTCTTAATAACCTAAGTATTTAAAGTAATGAATGTAACACCTTTTTAGTTCACTGATGCTGAAGTGTTCTTCCCTAATACTTTCCTTCTTACTTCACAAAACTTCAACCATAAAGACAAAGGGCTCTGCTTCAGGGTAAAAAGTGATTAAGTCTCCACCAACCCCCACCCTCAAGTAATTACATTCTGGAATTTCAACTTTTCTTCCAGTTCTGAATCCTTCTGTTCTTTCCTCCTGGAAGAGGAAAGTTAAAGTAGACTGAAGGTCATCGAAAAACAGAAAAGTTGGCCAAGGGCTCATCACTTGTTGTCTTATATTTTTACTGCCACGAAACTGTCCCATTTCTGTGTCCTCCCATCCAGAATTCACTGCCACTTCTAAAGTGAAGGCTGTAAACTAGGCTATACCCACTGTTTCAGTGAACAGATTTTGTGAAGTGCCTTCTGTTTTAGCACTTTAAGTTGATCACATTTTGTTGACTTCTGACATTCCACTTTCCTAGATTATAGGAAAGATCTGTTTATGTAGTTTAAAATGTGCCAATGCCTGTACATTAACAAGATTTTTAAAAATAAAATTGTATAAAACATTTAATTTATTGGTCTTTTTGGGGAATTGGGTGCATCATCAGTGTATTACAACTGAGCCATTAATCTTGTAGCTTCATCAATATTAACTGGTTCATTTTCATGACACTGCTGAGGAATCTGGAAGGAGAAAAGTATTATATTTAAAAATTTAGATAACAATAGCAAACAAAAATGACATATAATGTATTATCCAATTTAATTTCTTCTAGTTGTACCTTTGGAAGTAGAACAATAAATTCCCATATTTAGACTCAATGTTTCAGAGTCTGAGTATGACTGAATATGCTCTGCATATTTCAGAGCCAAGTATACTGGAGAGCCGAGTACTAAAAATTACATTCAACTTACAGGCTTTGAGAATTGGGAGTTGAATTTATTAGCCATAACAACAGGACATGATTTCCACTCACCAGCTGTTTCTGTAGAGGTTCAAGGGAAAGGCCTTTTGAGAAATGTGCTAGTTCCTTTTGTATATCTATAAAAGCTTTATTCACTCTGTTAACTTTTTCCTCGTTCACAATGTTTATCTTTTAAAAAAGAAAAAGAGCATTAATCCATGATCTTAACCATTAAGGATAAAATATATTCTACCTTAATTTAACCTTTATAAACCTAAAAATCTAAACACTCATCAACCCTTCCAATTTGTGGGGATAATTCACACTAAAATTCTTCTACTCCTATTGGGAAATTTTAGACAAAAGGCTCTGGTTTTTTAAAAAATAAGAGTTACGTAGATATACTTCATCCTTTGACTTTATAGGTAGAAGCAGACCAAAGTCTGTGACCACCGTCTTTCTAGGCTACGGTGTGATCATTTCTCATCTATAAAATGAGGCACCTGGATCAGATGCTCTTAGTGTCTTCCTAACAGTACATCTCTGAACCCCTCCTTGACCTTCTCGCCTTCATGGAAGTCCCCGGCAGTCTCCTGAGGACAGCCACCCCTGCAGCCCTCCTCTCTGGAATCTGAAGGGTGGGGTGGTCTTCTTGTCTGTCGCTGCTGCTCCCAAACCATTTCTCCTTCAGAACTCTCAGCCCCTTTGTACCTCAGGCATCTCATTCTGACAGCCCCTTCCTCATTACTGCCACCTGCCAACACCGCGATTACTTGCTCCTCCTGAGAGATCTCAGACCTTGGCTCACTCACCTCTCTCATGCCTGGTGTCACTGCTTAGTGGCTTCAACAAAAATCTACTCCTTCAGGCCTCATCTCATCTCCAGAGATCCCTTCCACCACCTGCCTCAGCCGTCCACTCCGTGGATTACCACAGGCCGCATCATTACCTGTAACTAACTGCACCACCTGTCCCTCTAGTTCACATGGTTTATGAACAATTCTTAAATCGCACGGAAACCTTTTCCCACCAATTTCACTATTTTTCATTTTCATATCCTCACTTTTTCCTTTAAAAGCCGCACAGATTCCAGGACCAACCACTATTTCATCGATCACTTCTTTACACTCTCTTAACCTTCCTTCTCTTCTCTCCCTTCATCGAACTTGCTTGGCAACCTAGTTAAACTCAACTATCGGCCTTTTCCAAGCCTAAAACTGAAGCTGTAGAAGATCATAACTGGTTGACTGGCTTCACTTTAAATTCATGACCACAAACTTCAGTTTGCCATTTATATAGTGCTTGGCAATCTTACCACCTCCTCCTAGTAAGTTAGGCTACTTTCTGAAAAAACTATTTGATACCTTCTCCAACCAGGCTGCCAACCCACAGATCTCCCTCTCTTAGATCTTTTCCATGAGCATACACACAAAGCTTCTAGTACTTACTATCTAAATGAAATGATCTTCCTCAAATACACCAAGCTCTTCCCTAGCTTGGGGACTGTGCACTTGCTATGCTCTCTGCCTAGAACATGCTGCCCCCAGCACTGCCGGCTCTTTGCATTACTAGCTCTTTATCATTGAGGTCTTGGCTTCATTGTCAACTTCGAAGACAATTCTGTATAAATCTGTCACTCCCAAACTCCCATCATATCACCGCTTTCTTTCCTTTTAGCAAAGTCATAAAACAGCTTGATCAAAAAGCTTAACTCAGCCAGTTCATGAAAACTGAAAGATAAATGTTACATTTCTAGGGATTACTATAATTACTAAGTCCTGGAAAGCTCACTCCACCTACTACTTAAACTTGAAAACATTTTCTTTTTTTTTTGTCAGGAAGATGAGCCCTGAGCTAACATCCATGCCAATCCTCCTCTTGTTGCTGAGGAAGACCGGCCCTGAGCTAACATCTATTGCCCATCCTTCTCCTTTTTTTTCCCCCTTTTTCTCCCCAAAGCCCCAGTACATAGTTGTATGTCGTAGTTGCACATCCTTCTAGTTGCTGTATGTGGGATGCAGCCGCAGCATGGCTGGACAAGTGGTGCATTGGTGCGCGCCTGGGATCCAAACCCGGGCCGCCAGTAGCGGAGCACGCGCACTTAACCACTAAGCCATGGGGCCGGCCCCATTGAAAACATTTTCTTCAAGAATCTACTTAACCTTGGTGAAGAAATTTCTCATTTCCTAAATATTTTGAAATAAAAACAAAAAAGATAAACTCCTTTCTTTTCAAATGTTGCATTTTAAGAAACAAAATATTTTATCTTCATTTTACAGGTTTTTGTTTGAGTTTTAGATATCTTCAGAGAAATACGAATTCTGAGGAGAAAAAGCATGGGTGCTCACTGACACTCTATGTCTTGGCTGTGTTAAGAGGTTCTTGAACATGTCTAAGTTCAGAGAGAAGAACTGTTTCCCACAACATGGTTTTTTATGCCTTCTATGCTCTGACACAGCTATTAAACTGTCAGTTGGAGCCTCACATATCTGCAGTTAAAATGCTTTTTACTTTTCATACGTTTGAATTCGAGAAAGGGAGGTTATAGTTCATTTTTTTTTTTTTTAAACAAATGTTTAGAATCATCTTCCCTTTGTAGGAAAGGCTGAGAACCTGTTTTAAATAACAGCATTCAGTTTTTCAGTGGCTTTACTATTGTGCTTTGCTTGTAAACAATAAAGTCCGAGTACTGAACTCATACTCACCTTCTTAAGGTTAGTGGTAACTGGCTTTGCTTTATTTTTAACCTTAAAGTGTTTTTGGCTGGCTATGTGAAATACATTCCTGGACTTCTGCCCTCTTAGTTTGTTCTTGGCCATTGTCTAGGAATGAAAGAAAAGAAGCTCAATGAAGCTGCCCACATTTATGAACTGTTAGTCAACTTAAGTTTTTAAAGTAAAGGTATCAATTAAATCTAAGAAATTCCATCTTACTTCTGATCATTTTTAACGTTCCTGCATGTATCATTTCCATGTCTTTTGCCTCCACTAGATTTCCTGCTGTTTGATGCACCTCCAGTACCTGGCCCACCGGAGGCACCGCAGTCACTTCTGCTGCTTGCGTTATTAATTAATAAATCAACATAACTGTTTTTTCAGCTCTCTGTAGCATCTGACCATGTTAACCATCACCACCCACCCCTCTGCTAGTTGATACACTGCTGTACCCTTCTGGTTCCTACCATACTCTAGGATGGACTCCTGTCTCCTTCCTTCTTTTTAAGAGAAAAAAAGTGCCCCACTTTCTCTCCTGTGCGCACCTCCTCTAATTCAGTCCTTAATCTTGCACTTCCTACCTCCTCTTCTCCCTTAAATTACTTTCACAACTTCCATACCACCTCCATGTGAATGGCTCGTGCCTGAAAACTTTACATATCCTCTTCCTTCTATAGCCAAACACGCACTAAGCCTGTAAATTCTACCTTAGAAACATCTCAAATCTGTCTTTAAGAAGGCATGTGAGGAACAATTTTTGAAATATTAATAGTTAAGATTTATTGAGGTTTTACTGTGTGTACCATAACTATACTAACATTTTATGTGCTTTAACTAATTTACTTCTCACAACAGCACTTTGTGGGAGGTCTTATTTTATCTTCATTTTACAGATTAAAAAACTCATACAAAGAGAATTTGTCCATTGTCACACTGTTAGTAATCCGGGAATGCCAGGATTCAAAGCCAGGCAGACTAGATCCAGAGCTCACATTATATGATATGGCCTTTCATATATAAATAAAAATGCAATACAAAAACATGATGTAGTACTGCCTGGCTCAGGACCTGGCTACTGTGATAGTCCCTAGGTCTGTTTGGTTAGACCATGGGTTGGGGCAAACTATGCCCATGGACCAAATAAGGTCAGACACCTGTCTTCGTAAATAACGTTTTATTAGAACACAGCTATGTCCATTCAATTATGTATTGTCTACGGGTGCTTTCCTGCCACAATTGTGGCTGTTAGGCCTAAAATATTTACTAACTGGCCCTTTACAGAAAGAGTGCCAAACCCTGGCTAAAGTCATCCGCATTCCAGTCTACCCAGCATAGTGCTGGGTAACGAACCTTCCCAGTGTTGAAAACCTTCCATGGCTCTTCCAGTGCATAAGCAGCAGCGTGCTTTGCCGGGCATACTGCCAGAGCCCTGAATCCGGCATAAACCTGTCAAATGTATCTCCTGCTACCCCTCCACACTCTCAGCCTAGTCGACTAAGGGTTTTCTGAAGATACTTTGTACGTTCTTCCTTTCTTTCCTTTGCTCACATTGTATCTCTTGACCCAAATTTACATCCGCCTTCAGTGTCTAGCCTCAGGAAACCACTTGACCCAGACAGCAACGCTTCTGAACCCAACAGTACTTCTACTTACAAAAATGAACACAGCAGAAAATACACGATTATTACAGAAGTAGAAAATACGCACAATAAATCCCCCCCCAATTAAGTAATCTAAAATCCTTCCAATAGTAACCCAAATCCAATCACTCAGCTGGTGTTCATTAATCAATCACTACGTGCCGGGTGTGGTCAGAACTGACACGCACGCGTGTGAAACACAGACACCAGACACATACGGTGGTGCCGTCACAGGCGGGGACACGGGAGGGCCGCCCGAGCTGGGGACCCGAGCCAGGCCCGTGGAGAAGGTGACGCCCCGGCCGGGGGGACAGGGAATTCTCTGACGACCACGTGGAGACTGCGCTGGCGACAGACAGCGACAACGGGCCCCCTGCCGGGGGCTGAAGGCCCCAGGACCGGGCTCCGGGCCGGGCCAGCATCCCGCGGCCGACGGGCTGCCCCAGGCG